CACCCGACCGCAAAAATACGACCACCCTCGGACGTTCGCGATCCAAGGGGAGGGAAGGATCGCGCGGGGGCTCTGTCCGGGATCCAAGGTGTTCGCACGCAGCTGGCGTGGTACAAGAAGCAGCACCACGTGAGAAGGCCTGTCACGAATTCGTAAGAAGAAACATGTCTTGGAGTCTTGGAGCACCACACACAGAAGAGCTCCCGACCCGATGCACGAGCGCATGCCTGTCAATGGGAGGAGCGGCATCGCTACAAACCTTGAAGTCTGAAACACTTGACCATGCATGTGTGAAGACGTCTGCCAAACAGCAGTCGCAGCATGTCGCTTGCTCCAACTGCGTAAGAACTGGCTTTCGTGCATGATGCGCAGAAATGTGGCAAAAAGTCTTGCAAAACGGTCCGATTTGGGAGATATCTCTGCGCTGCTGCGACGCACGTCTCTGGTGTCAGATGTTGCCCGCGCCTGTGGACCTCTTTTGAAGCGGTCAAACGGGAAAGCACACGCTTGTGGCCTCTCATCTAGGGTGAAATAGCCGAGAGGTGACATTAAGCAACTGCGAACCAGCTCGATGCTCGAATATTCCACGCCGGGACCGGCCTTGTGCAAAACCTCCCGCTAGAGAGCAGCTGCGCATTTCTAAGCTTCTAGCTTAAGGTAGAGTTAGCATACAAAAATATGCTACAAAAGCCATGACAAAGCATTCGCCGATACTTTTTCCCCTGGCCTTTCAACTTGAGACCACTTTTGAACGAGGCGGAAGCCCTCGGGGAACTGCAGGCATCCGCCCTCTCGTGCGCAGCTGAGAAAGAAACACAAAAAGAGTGGTGAGCGTGTTGTGTTGTGTGCTCGTTGTTTAAGACATGTCGGGTGAGGGGGTTTTGCCTCTGGAGGGAACCAGCTCTGAAGGTCCGTGGCTCCGTGCTCCGGAGCTCGGGTTGCGAGGGCTGTGCCAAAACAGGAAGCAAAAAACGACACAATGCAAACAAGATCGGGGTAACGAACGCACCAAGACGACAATCTGCAAGCAACATAGGTCAAGCACCAAGACAACACGCTGCAAACAAGATACAACAAACACCAAGACGACAAGCTGGAAACAAGAAAAGGTGGCGCAAGCACCAAGACGACACGCTACAAGCAAAGGGCCTGGCTCCTGAGAAAAACTCCGAGAGGCAATCTTGCTTTTAGGGAGGAGGGAAAACCTCAAGTCTTCCTGAAAATCTGAGGCCGCCAGGATCTCACCGCCAACACTGGAAATTGAAGATCACGAAGAGCGGAGGTGGCGAGCCTGATTTGCTTCGAGATGTGAAGACGTCGACCACAGCTCTTCCTTGCGACACAATCTGCACACGTGCTTCCCTGTGTCTTCCAAAATGAGCCGCCAGGCCGCCAGTTTTTGATGCGCTCGCTGCGGCGATCTGTCGTGGAAGCTCCTGGTGAGACAAATGTGTTGGGACCTTTGTTTGAAGCCCAGGAGATTTCAAGCGCCTGGTTTTGAAAATTGCCATGTCATAAGACTGGAAATTGAAGATCACGAAGATTCCTTATCCGACTTCGCCCATGTCCCACGCTTCGGCAGAAAACTCAGCTTGGAGAAACTCCGGTCACGTTCATCTGCTGTATGGAGAGTACCAACGGGTACCTCCACAAGTGTCAAGCTTCCCGTTTTCCCGGGAGCTCCGCTATCACGTTGAGATGTAACCTGGGCGTGCATCCCCTCGCAAAGCATACAGGAACACAGGCAACGCAGGAGTCTCTTTTTACCTATAGGCGCACAGCTGTAGATAGTAGTATTCTGATGTATTCTGCTAGAACCTTGTGCTGCGCGAGCTTTCGTGAAAGACACAAAAGTCCGTGCACAACCGAAGACGCCTCCCTGTCCCTATCTCCCGCACCAAAATGAGAGCTTCACCTGTCAGTGGAAGCAGGAATAGAACCAACTCCTTCAGGCTTCTTTGTGCTTGATGGTTCTGGTTCTCGCTGGCATGCTTTGAGTCTTTAGTGTCTGTTTCGTTTGGTGAACTGTTCATGTTACTTCTTGTTGGGCTTTGTCGTGGCGGCGGCGCATGCCGCAGGTCTCAGGTTTCACAAGTGTTAGCATAAGCAACTGCGCACACGAGTCTCCAGGCCCTCGCAAATAAGCGAGACCAATCACTGCAATCCTCACGCAAGTTCGGAGTGTTCTAAACCGTCACCGCCAGTTTGCTGTGTGACAACTCTTATAACTATAGGGGTGCCTGCCCTTTCTTCGAGCATGGCTTCTAGGCGCTCACACCCCGAGCCGAGACACTGGAACTCCCGCACATAAGCCGCCGGAAAGAGCGTGGGAGAGGACCTCAGCGCGAGCGTCTTGCGGCACCGGCAGCGCCTTCCCGCAGAAGCCGCCGGCGCGATGAACTGCCCGAGCTTCACGTAAGTGCTCCCCAGCCTCTGAGCGCCCAAGAACGAAGCGAACGAAGCGAACGGACGGAAGCGCTTCCGCCCTTTCCGCCCCCTCCTCTGGAAGAGCCGTCGCAGGAGCCGCGCCAAGGGAGCGTCTTCCACGGGCTCTCCACGGGAGAGGCCTTGCAAGGCCTGCAGCGCCTGAGCAGAGTCAATATCTGTGTGTGTGTGTGGGTGCAAGATGCGATGCTCCGACTGGCCGCGGCCTCCCGCAGCTCGTCGCTCTGGGCGGCCTCCACAGCTGTGAGCAGCGTCGCCCGCAAGGCTTGGAGGCCACGCACGGCACCCGCCTCAAGAGCAAGTCGTTCCGACGTATACACACTTCCGACTTCCCGTCCCCTGTGAGCCTCGATACCTGCCGAGCTCACCTTAGATGCTAACGTAGCCTGAGCTTTTGGATCCTGCATCCTCCGGCTTTCTAGGCCGCGTGCCACGCCAACGATGTCTTCTAGCAGACGACGGGCGGACTCCTGCCGCTCCTGAAGCACTTGAAGCACTGTATAAGAAGACGGCCGCTAGACTCGCTGGACTGGGCGCTGACTGGGGCCCACGCCTGTTGCCCTGCGCTGCCTGCGCTCCTCGGAGCAGCTTCCGCCCAGCGCGAAGAGGCCCAGCGCCGGGTCTCCTTGAGAGGCCGGAGAGGAAGCGAGAGCCTCGACACAAAGGCGCGGCAAAGGCACGCAGAAGAAACGCAGCACCGCAGCATCAGAGCGCCGAGGCACGGCTCCGTAAAGGGTCTCGAGCAGGGAGGCACCGAGATGGAAAAAACGCTGAAGAGAACCACAGACCTAGGCTCTCTTAAGCAGTGCACTATAGCTTTGCTGACTAGAAAATCGCTGAGGTCGTCGGCCCCAAAGCCCGTGGCTTCACGCGCGCCACGGCCCAGGCCATCACTGTACAGACTTGGCGCCGTGGCTCTGTGTTGGCTCAGAATCTTAGACTGCTGCAGAGATCCCATCGGCTCACGATCAATCTTGACTGTTCTTGCTGAAGGCTCAGAAGGATCTGAATGATCTGAAGCTGCCTGGTTCCTCATTCCGCTTGCACCGGCAACTTCCCCAGCCCGTGCTGCAAGATAAAAGAATCGGTCTAGAGAAAGAACGTGGCCCTTCCCGGCCCCCCTTGTTTTGCCATCATATGCCGTCTCTGCGTGAGCACCCCATTGGCGGCGCTTGAAGCCCATCTGCCTCCGCCTCCTCCGAGGGCCGCTTGTAGCCGCCTGGTCCTCAGCGGAGGCGGATGGGCGACGATTCCGCGGCGACGCAACGAAACGCGCGCTGGAGCTGGGGCTGGACCCAAAGAGCCGGGAGCTCGAGGAGCCCGAGCTCGAGCGCCGGCCCAGGAGGAAGCCCACCAGCGCCGTCAGCGACGCGAGCAGCGCGAGAGGCACCCTGTCTTGCAGAGCCGAAAAGCGAGAGAGAGAGGGAGTCAGAGCGAGAGAGAGCTGCGGAAGGCCAAGGCCAAGGCCAAGACAGCAAGCGCCAGGACGGCATGGACGGCTCTATGCCCCCAAAAGCGGCTGCGGACCATGACGCCGTCCTGCAGACTTCGCACCCAGTGGGCAAGCCCAGGCTCAGGTGATAAGGTCACAAAGTCTTCCTGCAGGATTTCGGGCCCGAGAGCTGCAGGTCGCGCCCGACGTCAAAGCCAGCGAGGCAGCTGGTGCCCTCACTGGTGCCTGAAGGAAGGACTCGCTCAGACAGAATTAATCGCGGCCCGCCGAGTCGGTCCTCTGCTTGGAGTCGAAGCATCCACGGCCATGTACTGCAAGAGAAGCGGCAGATAGCGGATTTTGCGCGGGCCGCAGACCCATGTAAGCACTGCCTCGAGGCGGTGGTTGTCCAGACCGAGCTGCACGAGCATAAAGCCACGCCAGGACGTGTCCTTGGGTCTGTTTTTGTATCAGCCTTATCCTTCACGGTCACCGAACAGAAGCTCTCGATTGACGGCCCGAGGCCAGGCAAGCATTCGAAGAAACAAGGAAGCTGAGGGTTCAAGATGGCTCCAGCCGTTCCCTTCACTGGGAACAACAGAATGATGCGGCCTATTAAAATCAAAAGTATGAAAAGTGCGAAGGAAGATCCCAGGCTCCGATGTCAGTGACTCTCTCTGCTGTAAGCAGATCAAGTAAGCACGCGTGTGCGCGCACGCACACGCACACGCGCCCACCCAAAGCACGCGCCCACCCCAAGCACGCGCCCACCCAAAGCATGCAAACACCAGCAGAACGAATTCAGCCACAGGGACCGCCCACGCAAGGTCGGGATTGGCTGCTTGCCAAGCCTGAGCAGCGACTCTGCAGGAACTGCCGAGCATCCCTGCTCCTTTCAGCTCCCGGCAGCTGCTTCAAGGCCAGGAGGCAGAAAAGGACGCCGGGACCTCGGCTCCCGCTTTGCTCGTCAAGGCATTGTGGCTGTCGTTACTGAGAACGGCGCTCCAGGCCGGGGCTCGTGACGGACATGCCGTCGAACTCCACGGCCACGGTTTTGTTGTCGGCCCGAAGGATGCCTTAAATTTGCGAGCGACACGAGCATGACACCGCAAACCGGCTCCCGGAGGGCGAATGCGTGGTTTGCTGTGGGGGAAGCATGCAGCACCAGAAAGGAAGCGACTGATCGACGATGCACACTGATGCACAATTGAATCTTCATACCAGTGAGTGTACCGATGCAAACACCGACAAATCTGCTTTTTCGGACGACTTGATCGGGATCTGGCTGGCTCTACTGTTTGCATGGAGCGCCAAAATACGTTGTGGCGAGGAGTGCTCTGTCGTGGGGATTGGCTTTGTTTGTCCCTTCGGTCGAACGAATTGGGCAAGTGCTGTACATCACTTCGCTAAGAACACAAAGTTTCAAGCCTTAGGGAACGGAGGCCATCTGTGGATACCTGTGCCAACGGACAATCCGCAAACATATTTACGATGCTTGTGAGGCACGGTTCTAACATGCTTTCTCTTATATGCGCTTCGCACGCTTCGTACGCTTCGTACGCTTCGCACGCTTCGAAAAGAGGCTCAGGCTGGCGCCTGCCCAAGCATTATGCGAGTCCCCACCGTAGACGATGGCCGGGGTCGGGCCACGGAGGGACTGCAAAAAGAGCCGTCGCTCAGCCACGTAGCCCGTCCAGCTGTCGAAGTTCAGCCTTGCGAGCGACAGCCGACACTTCTCTTCTCTCGCCTCTCATCGCCTCAGATGCACCCAGGCCCCGGGGCCCGCGCTGGATTCGAAATCGGCCAGCTGCCAGGTCCTGCGCCCAGAATCCAATCCAGCGCCAGTGTCAGTTGCACCTTTACGCGGCCGTCCACCAAGAAGGCATTGCGCAGCTCCGAAAACACGAAGTCGGCCTGGCATTCAGCCCTCTACCCGCTTTTTGCCCCTCTCTGCCGGCAGAGAGCCCAGCCGCCCAACCTCTCCCTCGTCTCCTGTAGTGTAGTTCCGATACAGAGCACCGCGCTTTGTGAGGTTCCGGACGATGTCTGCCCAGTGAGGGCTGGTGCCTGGCGCGTCACTCGGCGGCGCTCTGAGGGTGCCCTGCCCTCCAGCCCAGGCCTCTCGGAAGGTCCTGGAAGTTGGGGCTCATCAGCTCCTCTCCAAACCCCAAAGAAACGCGGCCGCTCTGCGCAGGTGCTCTGCGCGTGCTCTGCGCCTGCACCACCTGCGGCTGGCCGACGAGGAGCCACCTCCCCGGCCGGCCCTCGGCCTTGGCCTGCGCGGCGATCCACGCCAGCCTCAACAGGCGGAGAGGGCATGGACAGACCCCGCTCTCCAGCGCGGGTCCCTGGCTGGGTGTCTCCCAGCATCCGCTTCCTGGGATCCAAACGCTTTGCCTCTGCGGGGCTTTGCCAGCAGCCGCAACCCATCGTAAAGCTCTCCTGGGCTCTCCCCGTCGCCTCCACCGCTGACTGGACTTTCCGCATCTTCTTCTCGATCCGACCTTCGCGACATCGACTCACATCTTCTTCCTGATCATCTTCTGGTCTGTTTCGCATCGCGAGGAGAAAAAAGACGAGAAGCACAGCTCCGCTCAACGCGGGAGTCTTCGCGACCTCTGGGCCCTTCGGCCTGGCCAGGCGCTCGGGGAGAGGGCCCAGGCCCCGTTGAGCACCTCGGCGCCGCGTCGCGGAGGCGCGCAGTTCGTCGCCTTCGCGTTGTTCTGTGAGCTTCCAAAAGCAGAGGCCGGGCTTTCGGCTGCGGCGATCTCTGCCCGAACGCTCTGCTCCGTGGCCGCCTCGCAGATTGGCGGTCTGGGCTGTGCTCTGCTCTGTTCGGGGCCGCGCAGCGCAGGCGCAGGCGGTGCTCTTTTACGCGGCCTGGCTGGTCCTGGCCAGCAGCCTCGTCTCCAGCATCAGCAGCATCGCCAGGCTCCCAAAGTCGAAGCGCCGCCAGCGCAGCCATGGCGCCTCCGCTCTCCGACTCTCTCCGTCTCTCTCCTCTCTTTCCTCTCTTTCCTCTCCCTTTGCGGCGAGCTCGGGAACCGGCAGCCGACATATTCGTAAGGTCGAATTCCACACGCGTCGGCAACCTCGCTGAAGAATCGCGCTGCATGCCACTTGCCAGAAGGCTCTGCAGAGGACAAAGCCATTCATGGTAAGCGCGAAGGGCCGCGAGCTTCCGTGCCTTTGGGCGTGCAAAGGCTTCGCTCTGCTTCGCTCCGCGCTGTCTTCCACCTCAAAGGCCCCCTGCGTCTCGCTGTGGTGGTTCTCAGCGCCGTCCTCGGCTCAAAGCTGCTGGAGGCCGAGGCTTAAGTCCTGAAGGAGCGACTTGGGCAGCGGCTTTGAAGTCGTCATTGGCGACTGGGCGAGACAGAAAGCTTCATGCAACGGGCCGTGTCCGCGGCTCCGAGTCCGAGTCCCTCGTGGTCGTCCCAGATGCCTCGCAGAGAGGTCCGCGACCGGGACAGCCGGGACATGTCCCACCAAAGCGGCGCAAAGGCTGTGCCAAGCGGCTGATCATCGGGGCGCTTGCTGACAAACGCTGCAGCTCTGGATCGAGACCTCGGAACTCAAGAGCCCCGACTTGCCAGCTGGGACGGATGGGCCTGCGGCGGTAGTGCGCGTGGCGCTGCCGGTACTGCTGCCTGAGCGGCAGACGGCAGCAGACGGCAGCTGCGCATGGACGCAGGACCCTCTCCGTCTTTCCGGCTGCCGAGCGTCAAGTGCACCAGCTCTTCGCTCGGCTTCAGTCCTGCCGGAATTCTTTTTTTGGGATCTCCGTGCCACGCCCTTCAACCTAATCAGGGCCTAAATCAGACGGGGCATAGAAGAGGACCGCCGCGAGCCGCGAGCCGCTGAATTTGGTTGGAAGTTGGGCCTGGGACGACCGTCTCCGAGGGCGCCGGGTAGCGCGTGTCTCCGTACCTCAGACTGGGCCCTGCCGTTGCTTGGCGGCGGTGAAAAATCTCTCAGGAAGTGCGTTTTAGCTGGTTGTAGGACTGCCAATGCCACAGATGCAGAAGTGAACCCTGAAAATGCAAAAAGAGAGCTCTCAAAACAAAGGGACTAGTGTTGAGCGGCACGCGGAAATCAAGAGGCGCCGTGTCTCTAGGCGAGACGTGAACCGACAACCGTTCTCTGACCGGGAGTACAAAATGTCTGTTGAAGCAGAAGCAGGCAGTGGCCCTTCACTGCTTTCGCTCGAGGCGCAAACTCCGGGCCGGTCCGGCGGCCCGGACGAAAAAAAATTGTGCCTAGCTGCTCGTAGATGTAGTCTCCCAAGTGCAGCCTTGGGCATGGGCTTGGGACTGGGCTCCTAGAGACGCGGTGTCTTCAAGCCAGGAAGCCAGAAGTCTAAGGGTGCCGAAAGCTCTCTGCTGCGCTCCACTGCAGCGGCATACGCGCGGAAGTTGCCGAAGCCCCTGTCGGAACTTTGCGAACTGCAGGCAGGGGCTTCACACAGTGGGTGGTTCCCCCCGCGGGCCTGTTGGCGCAGGAGAAGACGGCGTAGCTCAGCGTTGCCATCGGCTCCGTGGCAGGCAGCGGCAGCCGGAACTCGCCCTGACTCTCGGACAGAATGCAGATGCATTTTCATGCAGGAGGCCAAACCTCTGGTGATTTGGCTTGCCCGCACTCGAAACGATATGCGTAACGAGTTCCTGCTCCCGTCAGCACAGAAAGCACAACAGCTGAGCTCAAAGGGATGTGTCCTGGCTGCAGTCCGGAAACGTCCACCTGGCCACCACGACAAGAAGAGGGGGCCGCCTTTCGCTAGACTGCGGGAGGGGGGGGGAGCCTTCACAGTGAAGTCAAACTCCTCAGCCGCAGTTGCCTGAGAGTTGCAAGGGCGGGGGCAAGGGCCTTCGGGGGGGGTGTCCCGGCCTTTCCCGTGAGCTCGCGCTTTCGCTCTTTGCGATTCGGCTCTTGGATCCAGAGGAGCCATCGCACCAGGAAGGCCTCCCCACGCCCTCTCTGCTCTGGCCCCTCCCCGAGCCGCTCGCCTCGCCTTCTTCGGCGCCTTCTTGGCGGGCGTGAAGCGGGTCCAGAGAACGATGGCCTCAGAGAGACAGCGAGAAGAAAGGCGCGGGCACGACGTGAGAGCTCAGGCCGCTGGCGTTTGCCAGAGGGTCTCCACTCGCGACGCCGTGAAGGAAGTAGCCAACTGCGCCCGCCATGGCCGCACCGACGGGCCCCCAAATCGGCAACTCTGCTTTTCTTCTTTCTGCTGCTTTTTCGGATTCTTCTTCAGGTGCGCGCGGCGTGTTCATGAGACAGCCACAACCTCAACCTCATCGGACGCCTCAAGATGTGAAGACCCGAACCGGCGAGGAGTTTTCTGTAAAACGTCCCGACTGCGCCCCGACACCTCATGAGGTTGACGGAGTCGGAGTCGGAAGAAAACTTTCGGAGAAAAAAAACGTTTCAGACGCTTTTGGAATGGAGCACCACAGAGCCTTCATGAGCCATCGTTATATGTATGTGTATATATATATATTTATTTATTTATTTATCTATATTTTATTGTATTTGTTGTTTCCTATGGATTGTCAAACAGACAGTCCGACGGTAGCGAAAACCAAGCGCTTTGGGCTTCCAAAAGTCCCAGAGTCTTGATATAAAAGTTACCCTGTCTGGGCTTTTTTGAGCCACTGCTGCTGCCTCGCGGCTCCAAAATTGAGCCCCAAATTTAGCAAGAGCTCTCAGCTTTGGTAGAAGACCTCCATTTCCTCGATGCCAAAGTTATCGAAGCTTCCGCAGAAGTCCTCCCGCGCGTATCTTTCCGTGGTCTGGCCAACGCGGGTGATGTAGGTGTAGCCGATGTCGCACTTGTTGCGCCGGTAGCCATCCCCCGTCTTGCCAGCCTCCCAAGAGAATGCCTGGAGATCGCCACGATGGAAAAGGCCGAAGTTAGGTCCCATAGTGTCCCCATTCCAAGTTGCATACTGCGTGTAATGCAGAAA